GGAATCATGAATTAGATCTAAATGTATGATAAGAATAAATGAAGAAAGTATTAAAAAAAAAATAATATTGATAATCTAAAAAGATAAAAAGAAATTTCAATGCTAAATTCAATATGACTAAACGAAAATTTCTTTTTGCTTCATCTCATCTACTGGTATAATCAATAAACAAGCAGAAGACGAGTAGCTTCTAAATAATAGTATAAGAAATAAGTAAAGTGCTTTTTTATTTTACAAAGTACTATCAACATACCGTGTGTTTTCCATCAAAATGCAAAATACAGTAGTTTTTCTAAGTCGTAAGTACTTTGGATACTTTGCTTTTGTTTAAGGTACTTAATATTGGAAACATTGCTTTTATTCGATTAGTCATCAAGAAAGAAACAGACAAATAAATTGAAATTATTTACTTAGCTGTAAATTATAAAGGGTATGTCCTAAGTTTTGATCTCGTCAAGTAATACTCATTTGTTATATGTTTTTTTCGGCAGAATAGGCTAATATTCACAACATACATACTAGACATCTAAATATACTCTACGTTAGAATTTCAGCTTTCTACCTCTTATAGTCACAGAGATACGAGTAACTTAAAATTCATAGGAAAATTTTGAAATAATTAACGAGTAGACCAGTAAAATTGGCTGCGTTTTATATTTTATTTTTTCATCATCTAACACGTTATATTAAAGAAGAAAATATACCACAAAATGCGGCGTGAAAATCTCTACAACTTACATAGTAAAGCTCATTTTAATTGTGTACTTTTTGTTTTCAAAACAAGCAAAATTCGGTGAGACCAATTTTCGATGGTATGAAAAATGATCGGACATTTTTTTAGAACAAAAAGTACATAATTAAAATAAGATTCATCATGCAGGTTGTAGAGCTTTTCACGTTGCATCTTGTAGTATATTCTGTTTTTTTTAAATGACGTATTAGGTGATAAAAGGATGAAATAAACAAAAATGAATTTTTCATTCGTATAGAAAGAAGTGATCTTTTCGCAATTTTCCTTTTTTCAAAACAAAATGTACACAATTAAAATAAACTTTACTATGTAGGTTATAGAGTTTTTCAGGCTGCATCTTGTGGTATATTTTTTTCTTTAATATGACATATTAGATGATGAGAAAATAAAATGCAAAATGTGCCCATTTATTGTGGCTCACCCGTTATTTCAAGAAATTCCTATGAATTTTAAGTTACTTGTATCTCTGTGACCATAAGAGGTAGAAAGCTGAAATTCTAGCGTAGAGTAGATTTAGATGTCTAGTGTATATATTGTGAATATTAGCCTATTCTGCCGAAAAAACATATAACAAATGAGTATTACTTGAAGGGATCAAAACTTAGGACACACCCTTTATTATGTATAAGTCTTACGTTTCAAACGTTAGGATATTTTCTAGTGGCGTCTTTCGATACAGGACGAATACTATCGTCGTATGCAATCACCTCAAAATTTTCTTCAACATCAGCGTTCTCTCTCCTCTTCGCACACATCACCCATCTACAGCCTACACACCTACGAGCCGACTCAATTTGCTTCACCGCAAATTTATGATGCATGCGGCGAATTACTCAAAGCGAAGAAACTCAACAATGGTCCGTATTGATCTGTTGATCGAAAGTTGCATTTTTTCACTTTGTTTTGTAGAAAGAATTCGAGCATTACTATGCCACAATCGTGCCAATGTGTGTCATAAGAAATATCGAGCGATGGCATCGTGCAAACCTGGCTGACGAACTGAACCAAGTGAAACATAGGATCCGCAAGTTGTAGTCAGTTTAACGTGCTTCGAAACAGGCAGTATGACAAGTATTTGTTTTGAGTTTGAGTACCGACCTTTTCCTTTCTAACTATGTATCGTTTCCAGACATCACAGACAGTTTATTGTAGAAAGCAGCTAAATAGGAAAAATCCTTTTGCTCGTGCAAGGTCTCTTTAGTTCTTGATTGAAAGATAAAAATGTAGTCGATGTAGATTTGGCAATCTTTCGTTCATTTTTCAAGAGAATCAAGTTTCTACAAACTGTCGATTTCAGGAGTCTACAATCATCATGGACTCTCGAATGCGTTCTCGCCATCGGCTAGTACTGGAAGTAATATCACTCCGTAAAATCGAACACCCAAAGGTTACTTGAGAAAACGAGAACATCTGCTAAAATAGCAGAAAGAACGATGATTCGTTCTCGATTCCGTGCGATACGAAGTGAGATCTTTCATCTCTTATCTAACCCAATGAGTGTCATTGGATGCTGTTTTTGTTCGATAACTCACTAGAATTCGTTGCTCGTAAGACCGCCGGGTGCTTTCTTTTTACATCGGTTCTGTCACTTTATTAATCATTAACCACATGGATTGTAGATATGAGTGTAGAACTACGGGATATTGTCTGTCAATATTAATAGTATCAAACCCTCAATGCGTGTAAGATTGCAGAAATGAATCAACGCTCCCGAGCACATTTTAAATTCCTTTTTCCTTTGCATATATAGAAATAATTGAAATAATGGAATGAAAAATGCAGTGTCTTCTGTTGGTACTAGTTATTCTTACATTGGTGGTATCTATTTGCAAAGGTGTGTCTGATGAACAATTTCGCTTCAACCAAAAGCCAATGAACGCTATAAAGAGACGACGTAACTCTGTCAATGGGGAGCATATTTGTTACTTATTTCTACAAAAAATTTAGATATAGTCAAGCTAGTTGATTTACCGAATATGTCTCTTCACGGTGTACTTTTCTATACACGTAGGTATTGCCTGTGACGAATTGAGTTTCTGTCCAAGTAAAGATTGTTGTCTAGTCGATGCGTACAAGGCTGTGTGCCTAGGTTCAAATACACACCGTTTTGTAAGATTGCGTCCTTCTCGTTCTATCGATATGAACTGTATTTTTTCTTGAAAGTCGTATAGAAAAATCATATTCTTTTTGAATTATCTGAACATGCGGTTTCTTCATTGAAAATGTTTACCTAGTCTAGAAGCCTTTTTGTATTCATCATTTCATAGTACATGGATAAGAAAATACAGCAAAGTTAACATAGATAGTTGAATAATGAACACATAGACAGAAACACACATAAAGAGAGAGCACCGAATCGAAGGCGAACAAAGCTTTACGTTTGATTATATCCAATTGGCTTCTGCAAGTGAAAAAATACAACTTAATGTGTACTTGGAAGAATGCAAAACAGGTGACACTTACAAATTCACTAAGCATTTTTAAAAGCGAAGCGGTAAGATTATTTTTGTCGATATTTTCCTTCACTGCATCTCAAAATGAGTTGCGTAAGTACATGAACATCTCATAGAGTTGTTCTTCATGAACTTTAAAATCGTGAAGCAAAACTACTTTTGTTTTTGTGAGATCCTCTAGAAATACAAGAAAACAAATGGATGCGTGAATTCTTGTTGAATAGCTTACTTGTTTGAATAAAGCAGTATTGTATCAGAAAATGGTCAATTCGTGTAGCAGTGGTCCCGTTATGCTCGAGTTGCTCTTCAGTACTCAAATCTTTGAAGAAAATTGGTGGCCGAATGTCATAAACGCCGCTGGAAAAGGATTCATCTTCTAGGCTAAAGAGTAACTATATTTCTCACAGTTTTTGATAAGCGTACTCACTTCGAGAGGATCCGGTACGATGCTTAATCTAAATAAACAAAGAGCATTTGAACTGAGTATGTCGTATATTGATATCTGAAAAGCATCACTGACCTTTCGTCCAACATTTATCTTCTTTCGTTTTGATGGTTCTGGAAAGGCATTTGACGATGAAGAAGATAAACTGTCATCCTCTACTAAAAATTTGTGAGATCAACAATTTAATCGAATATATTCTTACTTACCCGTTGATCGTGGACGTTTTCCATTACAAACTTGACGAGCTACGTCTTTCATTTGATGAACAAAACGCTCAAAATTGATCTTCACCGCCTTACGGAGATTGTTCGTACCCTTTTCGAACACATACTCCCGACTTTCAACACTCATGAATTTTGTGTCAGATTGAATTACTGAAATAATATCAACTTCAATCAAACATTGAGCCGAATCAATATCAAGGTCTCCTAACAAACGCGAGACTTTTAATCCATGTGCTTGTTCGACCAATTTGAGAAAGTCAGTACGGCAACTTGCAAAATAAATATTCTTTGGTGATGACGATGGATTCTTTTTCCTGAAATAGGAAACAAAGAAATTAATACACATTGTAAGCAAACGTCAATGAGACATCACTTACCTTCTGTGATGAACGGTTGCTGCCATTCTGTTTATGATGACTCTGTGAGCAGGAAGAGCGAGAAAATGCAACTATGCAACGGATTTATGCAGAATTCTGCTGATCTCTTGTATGTGTGTTGTCTATCCGAATGAAAGGACGATATCGTGAGAACATCGCTCATTGTTGTTGCTACTAATTTGGTGGTTGGTTCAATTATACTGACCAATAGAGCCCATCGGGTCCAAGAATTTCTGGACCTGGACCCGGTGAATTTAATTTTTCTGGACCCGGATCTAGACCCGGTCGATCAAGATTTTGAGACTCGAACCTGATAGATCATTTTTATGACAAGTCAATCACACTTTATGAGCCAAAAATCTCATATTTTTTTATAAACAAATTAAGCTTTTTTGAATCAAACGATCGAAAATTTAAAGAAATTCGTAAAATTTTATTATCTGCATCCAAAGTTTTTTTGATTTGGTCCTAATGGGCAAAAAATTTCAGACCCGGACCCGATGAGCTCTACTGACCAATCACATGAGAGCACAGATAGGTGACACTACGGTGCGGGTTGTTACCAGCGTTTGATCCATGACGGAAATTTCAATTTCTGATTCGTAACTTTTATGTTTTATCGAATCTAGCATTCCACTAACTAATCGTAATAGAAAAAGCGAATCATAATGTCTATTCATTTCAATCAATCTTTTATTTAGATCTAGTCACTCAACTCATTTTTGAGATGTCCTTTAAACCAAAAAAAAAATGACAACACAAAATATTTCTCCATCTTCTTCGACTTATAAAATCCATCATCAACGTAATAAATTTTAAAAAAAGCAGTAAAAATACTTCACCAGCAAATACGAATGATTGGAGTAAATATTCTTTTTTCCTATAGTTTCTTTTTAATCAAATTTATTTATTTTTATTTCAAGCAATTACATTGTGTATTATCGGTTCTGCTTGTTCCAATAAACGAATTCTTTCGTCAGTTGAGGATCGTTATGTATATGAATATATTAATGATGAACGACAAGTAATTCGTACATTGGTTGAAACAAAAATTTTATTATCACAACGTCAATTACGTATTTATATTGTGGATTCATTTGATGTTGTATATTTCAATATGTAAAAGAAAATGAAGATATTTATACAATTAATTCTGAAATTGTATTATCATGCGCGGAAAAAGAAATTGTAAAAACATAAAATTTTTTTCCTAAAATTAGAATTAAAAAAAAATTCTTTTTAGGATATTTCTGTACCAAGAAGAAATCGACCATTATATTGTCAACATTTATCTTCAGCTGTCATATGCTTTGTTGGAATTCGAAGAGATACACGTGCAAGTTAATAAAAATTTAATTTCTTGTTGAATAATATTTTTTTTTTGTTTTAGATCGACTTTAGTGATTTTGTTCATTATCTTGGCGAATCTGTTCGAAAAGATTATAGTGATCAAGTAACATATGTTATATCACATGCAAATATCGGTGAAAAATATCTTGTAAAGAATTTTTTATTTTCTTATGAAGATATTTAATGATTTTGTTTGTAAATTCTTTAGACAGCATTTAAGATAGAATGAAGTGATACTCTAACAGAAGAATGACTTTTACGTTATTGGCATGCCAAAATAATCATCAATTTAGTCCATTTGATTCTGAATTTATTCGAATATGTCGTGCTAAACCATTACATAATCTTAATTTATTCTTTTTTGGTTTTTAATAATGAAAATGATTTACAACATTTACATACTTTAATCAATGAACATGATTATTTTTTTTAATGCTTTTGTTGACTGTATATAATACAAAATGTTATGTCTCACAGCAGAAACTCTCATTCAAGAAAATAAATCTGCAACTTGATTTTTAAGTGAAATTTAAGAAATTTTATGAGCTTCATTTTGTCTTTATTGAGAGAATCTCGAAGAGATTTTTAAACAGAACATATTTCAACTGAAATTTTGTCATTAATTAGGTCTTCTAATCCTAAGAATACTCTTAGGATCATGAAATCTAATTATCAACAAACTTTCAAATCAAGAATTTTCCAGCCAATACTCCGTCCTATAGAAGAAAATCAAGCAAAACTATCGTTATTCTTTCAAGACGAGTTATAGGTCCGAATCCTCTTGAGATTATTCTAATTTCAAGACTCGTTCTACACATCACATAAGAACATGTTTTAGTCGTTCTATATTAAATAAGAAAAAATGATTATTGTTAATAAAAACGATAATATTTACGTTATTCTTTACACCATAGATAAATAACTACTATTTAACACCAAAATAATCATAATATTTGTTGAAGTATAGTATATATGAGAAGTATTTTCTTTCTTATCAGTATCATCGCAGCACGTTTAACGTTGACAAACTTTTATAATAAAAAAAAAGTTATCTTCATAATAAAGGAAAATATTGATGAACGTTTTCTGACCAAATAAAATGGTATGCCTTCATTAAGACTTTTCAATTTAGTACAATTGAGACGTGCTACATCATTGATGAAACTGTTTGTTACTATTGCAAGTGATTTTTATTGGATGCTGAGTATTCGTCAACTAGGCAAATGAACATTTTTTTCTTATCAAAGAGAAGTTACTCAGCATAATCCCCATATGCTATCTTCAGATTGAGAAGAGTAATATAAGGAAATATAATCGTTGTTGATAAATTATGCTTGTCTTTGTGTTTGATTATTACATATATATCATTCTTTGAGATAAGCAAAATTTGAAGAGATGAGTTTGAAGAATTGATATTCGAAAGGAAGGATATCATTCATCAACAAGCTTCAAACTTTATCAAACATGTCATTTTGAAAAGAATTGTTGAGATGAATATGAAATATTCGAATTGATATGCGATCTGCTTTCGACCTCCATTGTTCTGCTATTAACATATGGAAATCAACTTGTTCATATCCTCTTCCAATGAAATGATCAATGCTAGCATTCTTGTTAAGAATAACTTTGCTAATACTGAAAGTAAATTTGTTTAATCATGGTATATAAATAAGAATTTCATCATATAATTGAATTCCATCGAAATATAAATCGAGTCAAGTCTCATTATTGATACAAATAATATTAGTTCTTCAAAATTTATTATTCGATAAAATAATGAAATAATACGATTGTCATTATGAAATGTGTATTTCATCAAGGTTACTGAGAAATATTTCAATTTGAAAAGTTTTTTCTTCAAAATACAATAATAGATATTATACTAGAGTCCTGAATGGAGTCAACTAAATTTTTTTGTTGAAATTACAGCTTTAAGGTATGAAAGTTTTTTGAATAGTAAGTTTTGTTCTCTGATATTGACTGTACAAATTGACGGCTTTTAATCATTCCAACGACGTCTTATCAAGGCTTATGGACATGAAAGAAAGCTGGAATCGAATTTGACTTCGACTTTGTTTCGTGCTAGGATGCTTCTATATAACTTTATTGGAACTCCCACAATGCACCAATTGGTACAGAAAATATTAGAGTACAAAATCTACTTATCAAAAAGTTCATATGTTAAAACTAAATTTTCGGCAAAAAATTTAGTTGATCTCACGTAGGCTCCTAATATTCTTTCGTATATTTCTCATCGTTGATTTTTCTTAATAGATAACTTATTGGACTTTGTCGATAGATTTATCTTGTAAAGATAAAAAATCGAATTGTATTATTAACAATCCTAATTGTCGTATTTACATGTATTTTAACCTTTAGAATAACAAAAAAAGAAAAAGAAACAATACAGAAAAAGCCTGTTTTTGATATGTTGAGATGTTAATAGTCTGTATAAATAACATTGTTACCATGAGTCTGAATAGATAAAATGCATGTTTATTTCCATATATTGATTTCAAAAATTCAATTGTATTTCTATTGTAAAAATTAAAGTTAAAAAAAAATCTCTGTGAGTTAATTGCTTTTCATATTCAGCTTTTGTTACACCTTCTATTCTGATGAATAACAGTGAATCTAACTTCAAAAATAAATTTTCTTTTTTTATTATGTCATCAAAAAGAAAAAGATTTTACATAGAAACAGGAAAAAAAAGTTTTTTTTTTCTATTTACATTATGTGTAATAAAATGTTTTTTTAACATTAATTCCATATTCTTCAAGAACATGTGTTAAATCATTAAGTGTTAACGTTTGATTTGTTGATGCTATTGATTTTCTACCACTAGCTGCATTTGTCGATTGATCAGTAATTGTAATTGTTGCTTCAGTTGTTGCCGCCGGTACCTATCGATTAGTGGATTTTTCACGTATTTTATGTAATTGAAAACAATTATTAATAATATCTTAGAGAACGAATCAAAAGATTTTTTTTGTTAAACTTTCTTCTTATGTTAAATACCTGTCATAAACTTTTGTACAGAAACAGAAAGTAATTTAACAACACGATCATCATCTGTTTGTAATCCACATTATCTCATATAATATTTTGTTACTGTTTCAGGTATAGCAGGTGTAAATTGATCTAATGTTGATGTAAATTTATTTAGATCTTCTTCATCAATTAATGTTTCATCACAACTTGATGATGAATCTTCAATACTTTCAGTCATTTATCTGCAAAAAAAAGCAAAGATGTTGTTTTTCTAATAAATGCTTTATTTAAGAAGAAAAAAAATTAATAAGTTTTTTTTTTTTTTATTCTTTTCTCATAATACTAAAGGTCTACAAAGAGTAAAAATGACTTTTTTTTAAAGCACAAGACATTTGTCAGCAAGAAAGAATAGATGATACCATTGAATACCATGATTAACCAAATTTGAAACCATTGATATCGAATGAAATAAATTAAATTTATTGTTTACAACACGATATTTTGAATCATTACGAATTAATCCTTCAATATCATCACTTGTCTATGAAATAAATACAAAAATTATTTATTAAATATAACCAAACAAAAAAAAATTTATACTTTAGTTGCTTGTAAAAATTCAATATTATTTCGATCAAACATTAAATTTGTAACCCATGAATTAAGAACAAGACTATTGACTTCAGCTGCAGCTAATGCAACAAATAATGCAATACCCTATTCAAATAATATTATTATTAATATGAGGTTTTTTTCCTTTTGTTCTTTATTATACAAACCAAATTTCTTGTTTCTTTTGACCATGTTTTCAATGGATGACGAAGTAAAAATGTTCCTAAACTTAAACTAGCTAAAACAGCTGTTGACGAAAAATAAATATTTGATAAATGTGATTGTACTGTTGCATATTCTTGACGTGTTAACATACGTTGAACAGCACGACCTAAATGAGATTCGTAAATTGTAGAAATCAAACAAATTATTTTTACCATGAACAGTTATCATCCAAAAACTAATACCAAATCCACCAGCAACACCAATTAGATGTAAAAATGAAAGATTAGGTGATGATGCGACAGGTTTATTTTGCCATAAGGCATATCCAACAAATCCTAAAGCACCAAGTGATGCAAGAAATGATGGAGCCAGATACCTGAATAAAATAAAATGATACTAAACAAAAAGGAAATTATTTTGATATTAACCAAGCTTGTGGCCATGTCTTTTTATAAACATCATGAATAGTATCTTCAATTTTGCTCATTTGTGCACCCATTGTATGGTTAGTTATTCTTGTAAATAACAACGATATCTACAATATACAAAAGAGAAGGAAAAAAAAACGTCATTTATTTGATTTCGAATAACGTCTCGACAACGATGAGTTTAGCGCCACCTTTTATATAATACATAGCAAAAAACTTAGGTCTAGAAATATAAACTGTTTATTAATACTAAGGACAATAGATATACAATGAACTATCAAATTTTATGATTTATGAGATCTATTATTGATCGTTCTCAAATGTTTCAGTGATAAAAATTGTCATCTAGAGATTCTGAAGAAGAATTTGCATCGTTGGGATCTTTTTTTGAACAAAGAAAAGTCAATCGGCGTTTTTGAAAAATCTAAGTATGCTCAGAAAAAGTTTTGCATAGAAATTTTTTTAGCCTTAGAAGTTGTCTACAGAATATACTATTTAGTTTTTAAAAACACTGTTTCAATTCGGATTTTTTTTTAAACTAAAATGTATGAAAATGGAAGTCGATATCGTTCTGTGTCACGCTAGGTTTTTACCGATAACTTCTCTGAATAAAAGTCTCTAGCGTTGACTTTTTTAAGAATATATAGAGTAATTTAACATACATGTAACATATAAAAATTCGTTCTACGAATGTTTATTATCCCGAAATGCACATGTTTTAATTTTGCAAAGTCATGTTGTTAATGAAATGATTTTACCTATAAATATATGTTCACTGATGACACTGGCATAAATTTGATATATATTAGAGATGCAGCAGATATATTCCGAAAAAACATATATTGAATATATTTATGGTTAAAAATTAATTAATCTTAACAAGAGCTATCTCGTTGGTTTATATATAAAAATATGCGATTATTATTTTCTTAAAATGACGAAAGTTATGAACTAATTTAAGATCAAAATTTTCGTTCATACATTAGAC